AAAACAAAAGCTTGAAAAAACAAACCAAACCAAACACTATAAACTTCTCTTTTTTTTTTCTTTTTTTTTTTAAAAAATCTTTCTTCATTAATAATTTTGACCAACTATTTAATTATGAATAATTAACTTTTCTTTGTTACCTGTATTATATTGTTAGAAAAAATTTCACATATTATTTTTGTGATATTTTATATATGTCAATGTCTACATATATAAATATATAAAAAATATAAATGTAAATTTATATAAGTTTACTATATTCATACATTGTCATTCTGTAATACTATATTATCATCGGATATTTTAATTTTTTAACATGTATTGCTTAGTAATATTGTTATATTTGTTAGAATTTTTTTTACAGAATTGTGTATTATTCTTTTACCAACTTATGTTTAATACATATATACATACATGACATACAAATAAGTACCCACAACAAACATTTTCAATAACAAACCAAAACTTTGCAAAACACTTCCATCATGACAATAATTGTACTTTTTTCCCCTCACAGAAAAAATCACATTATTGAAGAAAAATTTGAAATTCATAACAATATGATATCGCTTTAAACTCATACTCATCAAAATATTTTTATTACAATTAGTTATAATGGTGAGTAAGAAGAAAAACAAGAAGATGGTGAAACAAAAACTACAAAAAATCCATTTCAACATGCTCTCCAAGCAAAAATTAGATGAGCTGAAGCCAGAATTGTTTTATCTGTTGTGAAGTTCAAGAAAAATAATGTACCTCATGCACACATTTTAGTCAAATTATAAGGGAAAAAAAATGATGTCCAAATATTATCACAACAACTCAATTATACAGAAAGTAAGTACATCAAATAAAAAGTTTCAATCAATTTTTGTTATATGCTAATTACTTACAGATGTCATAATAAATTATGTAACTTGATGGTTTCATTAAAGTGATCATGTGAACATTTATAAGTATAGATCTATAAATATCGTGAAATAATTATAAATTCTTATATTAATCAAAATATTAAGTTACAATATCATTTCATTTTCTTAAAAAAATTATTCCAAGTTTTCTGTATAAATGAAAATATAATAATGACTAATGTTATATTTTCATTATGCAAGATATTCTTGGCACAAAAAATGAGACTCAATAATTTTTTATTATAAAAATATATTACATATTAATACTAATGCATTCTTACACCAATAGTGTACAAAAAATATGTAATAGTGAGTTCAATGAATTTGTATTATGAGATGAACTATTAAATAAAATTGTGTAATTGTGCAATTAATTTCATATCTTCAATTGTATTACAGGTACAGATTATGAAAAATTGAAATAAGAAGTTGATAGAAAAAAATTTGTGTAATACTATATATTTAAATGACTTGCTTATTGTTTATTGTTTAAGATAAGATTGTGATCTCAACAATTAGCTATAAATTAATGTTTATATTTATAAAATTCCTCATTTCTCATTTAAATTCTTCAGCCAAGTATGTATTCATTTCTTACTTAATAGTATTTTGGATACAGATCAATTTATTCATATAAGTCTCCATACTTTGTATACATATCATATACCAATTTAAAAGACATGCATAATTACAATATTAACAATTGATAAAAAATCACATGCCCAACCACTAGTACATAAAAGTACAAAATAGTCTAAAATAGTGCACGCTAAGGGTCCAAAAAATATTTTTTCATAAATCCATCTTCAACTACTTATTTTTCACTTCAAATTATTTTCTTCTATTCCGCTAAGTCATACAGGTGACATAATTACCAAAATACATCTAATAATAATAGGGTAAAACGCGCATTAATGTTCATATTGACAATATGAATTCAAGTGAAATTTAATAGATCTCGTTAACTAGATTTCAAAAATATAAATTTCATTAAAAAAAAAAATATGTACAACAAAATTATGAATTGAAAGTTTAATATATAAAAAGCACAAACTAGTCCAAAATATGCACACCAAGTTGTTAAGGATTCAAAAAATATTTATAAGGGTAAAATTGTCTATAAAATACCTTATACATGAGAATTAGAATTTAGTGGATTAAATGTCTAAATAATTAGATTAATTGGAATACAAAAATATATTATGAACTAATTAAGATACAAGTATGAGGATTTCCTAACAAATTCCCTTAAAACATATCATTACTAGGAATTAAACTTTTTGACAATAAATTGCCATGTTTTGCAACTTGGCTTTTGGCTAAAATAGCCAACAAATACAAAAAATGTTACAGTAGTCAATAAGACAAAGAAAAATTATTCATCTCCCTAATTGTGACCCCCTGATTTCATCCTCAATGATGTGAAATTAGAGGGGGCTAAAGATGAGAGGAGAGGAGTGTGAGACCGCTTCATATGAGTTTTAGTCGTGTCAGTATGGTGGAATTGGAGGGATAAAATTAGAAGGATGTAGTATTGCTCTAAGACAAAATGTCAAAAAATTCACAAATCATTCCAAACATAACTTTTTTTCATCTCATAAAATAGTTTAAAAAAAATAAAAGACCAATTGAAATAGCTAAGTTTTCAAAAGGTGCTCAAAAATAAAATTTAGGACAAATTATAGATGCACCTCTTGAGGTTTGTTTAACATACAGATTGCCCACCGTGATTTGAAAAATTATAATATCCCATTGTTAGAAATTTTTTATTTAACAAAATTAACTAAAAATATAAAATTTCTAACTGCTCTCTTATACAATAATAAAATTA